GCGTCCCGGAGGGTCTCCTTCCTCGCTCCGTTTTCCTCCCCGAAGTGGCTGGGGGGCGGGCAAGGCCGCGACGCGCTGACCGCCCGTGTCTCTCCCCCCTCGCAGACGCCGAGGAGCTGGAGGAGGTCTCGCTGCCGGACTTCGACTTGTTAAACGACCCCGAGGACGAGCTGCTTTGTGCCAACCTGATGAAGCTCATCCAAGTCAGTCTGAACAAAGCCAACATCAATGCCAAGCGCTGCTCCCGTCTCCTGATGCCGGCCCAGCTTGTCACGCAAGTGGGTAAAGAGCTGCTGCACCTGGCCTACAGCGAGCCCTGCGGCCTGCGAGGGGCCCTCATCGACCTGTGCGTGGAGCATGGGAAGGGCTACCACCGGGTGGGGCAGATCGCAGTTGACCCCAGCCTCGTGCCTACTTTCCAGCTGACCCTTGTGTTAAGACTGGACTCCCGCCTGTGGCCTAAAATCCAGGGACTCTTCAGCTCCGGACCGTCCTTCACTCCAGGCTTCAGTCAGTCGCTGAAGCTGAGCACTGGGTTCAGAGTTATTAAAAAGAAGCTGTACAGCTCTGAGCAGTTGCTAATAGAGGAGTGTTAAGGGTTCTGCTTGAAGGAACGACTGTTCACTACTCCACTCCTGTAGAGGACCAGGAGAAACAAGTTACCCAAGTGCTTTGGAAAAAAGTTAACATAAGCTGGTTAAGATGTGGCAACTCCTTTTAAAGCCACTTAGGTTAGACTAGACTGATCTACAGTTCTACAAAGATAGAGGGGAATAGTCCAAACAGAGGAGGAAGCTTGCTGGAAAACATAACTGCACTTTTGCTTTCCCTCATGACTGAAGTAACTAAGTGCATACTTGCTCACAGTGGAGGTGGATAGCAAATGAGTGCTAGCTTTAAATTTCTTAAGTGATTGTAGGACATTTTACTGACTTCAGTTAGACAGTCTTGTGACTGTGTTGATACCAGATAGAGCAGCAGGGCTGCTTCAGGGGTAGACAGTTCCTTACTGTTGACTGACTTTAAAAAAAACAAAAAAACCCAACTGATTGTAATCAATGGGGCTCTTTTGTCGGGGGGAGGAGGGGAGTGAATGAATGATGGTTAAACTAAGGGTCTAATGGGACCAAGTATGTGTATTTGGATCAGAAGAAGTTCCACTACTGAAGTTAAGGCAGCTATGTGCAGACTCCAAGTCACTGAAAAAGCCAAGACTTGGATTTATTTTATTTTATTTTTTTTAATCACTCATGTAGTTTTTTTTCACTTAAAGGAAATGCCACTGGGAGCTGCCTTCAGCCCCTTGGTACTGTATGCTAGAAGGAGATGGGATGTGATGCTGGGAATGAGGGCAGGAACCCTCACAAACAACCTCTGTGAGATGCCATACTGTGCTTCCATTGATTACAGTTTACATTAATACACTTGACGTTCAAGTGCAAGATTTCCTATGCAATTGTGTTGTTTTTTACTTTTGTAATAAAACCTTTCTAATTGATAACTTGGTTGTCTTGTCTCCTCCTGTCCTTTTTTTCCAATACAGCTGAATACCATCTGTATCAAACCAGTGAATGCATGCATTGTGCTGTAGACTTGAAACATCTTGCATAAACCCTCCTAGAGGATACATTCCACCTTTTTCAGAGTAGCCTTCTACTCTATTAGCAAAATCTTTCCTTAGGCTACTGTCTGTGAAGAAAGGTGACAAAACTTGAGCGTTAGTTAGCTCAGACATGGTATAGTTGGCCCTTCTAGAAGACGTGTCCCTTTCAACTTCTTCCCAGCAGAGCTCTTTATAACCTAAGAATTATGTGCCTCGGTCATTTTATAGTAAATTACAATAAGAATACCACAAGACCTACACTAATCCTTAAATTGGCTTCTAATTGCAGTAGACAAAGGGAAGAGTCAAAGGTGGGACAGGTGAGTGGCTCCCATGAGCAAGCAAGGTAACTGGAAGTGTCATAGAGGGAGGAATGGGTACTGTCTAGAGGGAAGGTTCATCTACTATTCCAGTGCAGAGTGCATGATGGAAGGATTGCTCTCATGGCAGTTGTATTAGAATACTACTTAGTTCTAATTTAATCTTGTTAACAACAAAAGGATAAAGATAGTTAAAAATTCCTGCCCTTGATAGGGAAGGGAGGTGGCCTAGGCAGAAAAAAACTTTCTTTGTGTTTCTTTGCAATTAAACAAGCAAACCCTAATTTAAAGGAAGGCTGTCTTTATGTATTTTGTGTTCTTATTTTGTACATGATACCAGAAATGTATAGGAATTTAGAAGTAGGAGGGAGGAACTTGTTTAAACTAAGTGGCATTACACTAAGGATTAATTTAACCTGGTGTTACTTCTCCAAGAAGTGGAAAGTCCAAAGCTTTTAGAGAAGACAAAACACCTGAAGATGCAGGGAGGCTAGAAGAAAACTAGTAACTTCAGTTTCCCATATTTCTTAAATATGACTCGTTCTTTTTTCTGTCCCCTTAAGATGACTACTTCCACTCCCACAATACTTATTAAAGGACTCCTCAATCTGCTATGGCAGCCTCATAATTAAAAATACAAACAACAGTCAACAGCATTGTGGTTGGAGTCAATGGCATTGTCAAGGACTGAGCTGCAACATGCATATGTATGCATTTTTATCATCCAGTTCAACTTTCACACTAGTCCAATATCCAAGGGACAGAAGCATCATTGTTTAGATCAGCCATGAACATTAGGGAAGCATCTCTCACCCCAAATGAGCCTTCTGAACATCAACAAGGGACCCAAAAACCTGCATCCGTCCCTATATTAGGCAAAGCATCGTCATGTCTTGAAAGATTTTAAAGGTGGTGGCAGAATTAAAATAACTTATTACCTTGGTGAAAATGCAGTTGTCATAAAGAAACAAATACTGGCTGAGGAAAAGAAATCTTACCTGAGCTTACACCTACTGGCTGCCAGTCCATCAGGTTAATAGAATGACACTAGGTGAGAGGATAAAATATGTCTTATAATCTTGAGTAAATTATGTTCTGACTTTTGAGGGTAGTGGTAGCAAATAGGCATTGCATTTGGTAAGGAGGTAGTTAGAAATGGATACCATTTTATTTTGCCAGTGTAGACTGTTCATATGTGGCTTTGATATCCACAGACCTGAGGTTTAGGTTTGTCACTGGTTCTTGAAGTGGGAGGCAAAGAATCCAAATCAGCCACAACACACACCAGAAAAGCTGCCAAAAGAAAAGCCAGAATAATAGAAGACTAGTAAAATCACATCTATCCTAACCCAAGTTGTTACCTGTTCCCCCTCCCCACCACCACCTACTTCAGTATCATCTCCAGTGTTTTCTCCTTAGATCTAAAAGGGAAAAGACAACAACAAAAAAATCACCTACAGTTACAGTGAAAGCTTAATTAAAGGCAAATTTGGATCCAATACAAAATGTACAGGATAAAAGGATTTTTTTTAATTAAAGGATAATGTTTGCAATAAATGTCTTTTTATTAAAACAAATATAATTTGGGTTTTGGGATAGGAAAAGATCAGGCATAGGATTACTGGTCTGGTAATCCAGTTCCATGGAGCAGTGGCATCAGCTATAAAGCAGTATCACAATGTTGAAACTTTGCTTTGCTTTCTAAAGCTTTTCAAACAACCCCCTTCCTGCTCCACATACTCAGGCATTTTTCTAAAATCTTTGAGTCTGCAGTTGCTTCAGAAATGCCTGAGCAACATCTTTTCCAAGAGGCAAAGTATCCATTTTCTGGGCTTCTACAAACACAAGGTGCTTGCAGAGAAAATGCTAAACTGAGGAGAGCAAAGCAGGTGGCTCTTGGCTGTAGGAAGCAAGAGGAGTGAGGTTCAGCACAAGACAGACATCACATGGGCCTTGCTGGAGCCTGGGAGTCTGCACCATTCAATCTAAAATGGACATTTCTCATTATGGGAGAAGAAACAGGGTACAGGGAGTGCATGCCAAATATCTCATTCCCGTGTTATTTACCAGCTGCTGACTCTTAGAACAGCAAATGGGTTAGCAGCCAAAACACTGGGGCCAAGCTACTTGCTCTTTATTCAGGATCCACTGAAGGACTCTCCCATGTCACATGAAATCACATCAGACTTCATGAAGGAACAGGGCATACATGAGAAAAGCATATATTTTACC